CAAAAAGATTTATACAACAATATTCCCAAATTTATAAATAAATTTTATAAAATTTAATAATAAATAGTGTTATTCTTTTGTAATTTATTTAGCCGTTGAAAATGTCACTTGTTCAAAATTAAGTTTATGTTTATCTGTACATTGAAAATGACACGATCGTTGTCGAAACATATGTTTGTTTTTTGAATATTAAAAGTTATTGTTTTGGCTCGTTGCCCTTCTATTTTATTTGTATTGATTTATTTTTATTGAGCCATATTATTATTATATATACTTTTTAAGTAATGTTATATTAGACTTTTTAGAATTCTAATGTTCTTTCGCATGTTTCAATTACTATTAATTATTACCGTGATAAAGAAAGTCTCAGTTGTTCGATAATATAAATGAATAATTTAAATAAATTGAACAGTAAAATTGTAGGTAATATTTTATTAAAATAAAATTTTAATATAAAATCGTACATAAAAATGTGTTTACTACGCAGAGTATCTGCGAACTTATAAATGTATTGTTAAAGAAAGAATGCCTAAGCATCGATCAATCAGAGCTCTTGCGTTCTCCTTCATGTTCGTCACTTCTCGACAGTGCTGGCCTCTCAAACAGCCTATATATACCCGTATTCACTCTTCCACTCCTCCCGAGCGACTTGACTAATCACAACCGATGCCGTTATTTCAGTCCCTACCACGAAGACCACGGTCATATCTACTGATAGAAGTGGAGAACCACGTGGAGGCATTGACACACTGACCTTGATACGTGTGAAACATTGAGGGGGAACTCGGTAGACCAATCACAGCGACAATCCGCTTTCCTACCTTGCTCCCGACACAGTAACCTCATTTCCTTCCTCTTCCTAGTTCCCCACCTTGATCCGGTCTTTCTCCACTTCTCCCACCCGCGCAACATCATTCTATCTTCTCTCCGTCCATGAACTTCCATGTAGGTCATTAGCCTTCTCGTCTGACCGACAGAGTAACCTGCTTACGGCTATGAATTTATATGTATGTGTGTACATAGCTCTATTTTTCGATATTTATTTATTTACAAATTGTAAAATCCTTGTCGCAAATAATCCTTATTATTGATGTCTTCAGGATAACACATGTGTATTTAGGTCGAGCCTTAATAAGATATGACAGATCTGAGCTTGGCAATTTACCAATGTCGCAGTGATATGACGTTTCTGATAGTACGTCAATGTCACGATGACGCAAAGTATCCAATAATTTCCGATATCTCACAATGATCAAGACATAATTTTATAAAAAGATAATTTATTTTATTTTACAAAGCGAGCATATACAGCTATGCAATAAATAAATAAATAAATAAATAAATAAGTAAATAGTTATGATGACGAAGGAAACATTGCATTTTATGGAATGTCATGATATGGATAATGTTCGCCATTGTATTCCGGTGCCCAGCCTCTGTAAGGTTGATTGACCTCTTCTTCTGACCTGTGCCAGTGATCATGATGAATTTCGTGCGGCCTTACAATTCCGTAGGAGACTCTTGCTGGCGGAGGTGGTGTAACAAGAGCCTTCAAAGCTACTGCGCCAGAAATTAAGAGCGACATAAGACCTGCGCCTAAGCCCTTCAAACCTATCAGAGCGATCATGCTAATTACGATAGGTAGAACGATTATTGCTTTTAGCTTCAGCAGAATCAATAGTGGCATAATCATCCTCTTCAATTTCGTGCGTGCTGTAAACATATACAATTGTCTTGTAAGTAACAGCATTCCCTGAAATGTTTAATTCATGTATGTATGTATATCTATAATAGTGCTTAACAAAAGGAAGTGTGTGAAAAACACTATTCAGATATCGAATTATAATGCGAATCTTACTATATATGTAGTATATATATATATATATGTAATAAATATATATAGTATACATATGTATATAATTGTACATATAAAGTTTGTAATACCGAATCATATATAAAATTTGTATTATATATAAAAATACAGAGCACAATTAATATAAAAAAATAATATCAATAATCATAGAACACACGGATGTGTGTGAACGAAGATTTCTAAAAGTCTATCACGGACGTTTATCATCCAATCTACTTTCTTCGAACGCGCGACACTCTCGTTCAAGGTCCTTCTTAGACGTCTTCTCGCGGTAGCCGTCCCAGAAACCCGGAATCCCACCAGATCTACCAAATGGTAACCCACTTCAGTCCACTCCCACCTCCGGCATTTGTTTTCGCGAATATGGTAGAAGTGGGACACGTTGCTGTAGCTTTCTACGTATGAAAATCTTCCATTCCAGTCGCTCTTACATCTCTCTCTCAATAGTTATTAATATACGTTTATGCGTACTCAAATTTTCCAGTGTTTTTGCGAAAAAAAATTGTTTTATAAATATGTAAGTAAATAATTTTGAGAGAATTTTTATAAATACGAGAAAAACGATAAACTATATAAGCGCTAGAAAGAGATACATAGAGGATGTGTGAATGGTATTTCGGCCACGATCGAATTGAAAAGAAAGATACAAGTTACACTTTCCAGCCAATGAATCCTGAGATTCATGAGCTACTTAAATCCCATTGGCAGGGCTTTAGAAAGGTGAGGCACTATAAGTTTGCGCCCATTGAATGATGTATTCATATCAGATCGGAACGTTAGAGAAGAACAAGAAACTTTTGTTAGATCCAAGTGTCTAACTCAAGTCTGACGAGGATCTAACAAGAACTTTGAACAATAATGTTATTATCGGAACTTAGTTTTAAAAATGTTATTAAAAACTTAATTGTACAAATTCTTGTGGATGAAAAGTACAAATTTAATATGTACGTATAAAAAGATGAAGCGTAAGATCTATCTACAAATTAATTTATAGAGATATAAGAAATATATTAAACATATTTATTTCAAATAATTTATATAAATATTAAAAAGAATTTATATTGTATATTATGTTGATCTATAAAAATGTAGCGTGTAATATTAAATATAATTAATATAGATTTAATCTCATAAACTTAATGAATTAATACTAGTTTACGAGTACTTGTACTTAAAAGTATTTTCGAAAATTTTAAAATATTTTTAAATCATAGAAACATGATAATCACTACGAGAGAGAGGAGAGAGAGAGAGATGTTTATTATAATATTTTATAGTGAAGATTGTAATCTCCCTCCTCTTAAATAATTTTATATTTTAAGAAAAATGATTGCTTTTTTTAACTTATTGAAACTATTTTTAAAAAAATGTAATCTGTATAGAATTTATAGAGTTTAAAGATAAGTATTTCAAATGGCCTTGGCGCATTACTAGCAAATTTCTTTAAATTGTTCTAATCACAGTCTCGTTATGCAAATTCACAAAAACTTGAAAGGGTAAACGCTCTAGTTACCTCTAATTTACAAATTTGACAGCATTGTTCTATCCAAATACAAAACAATCAGTTCCGTTTTAAAAATTTAATTTATAATAATTTTTTGTAATGCATCGTTTACCTTCGGATGTTCCACGTGCCAAGCTTCTGAGTTCTATATCGATGTTTCTTTGACCAAGAGCGCGTGCAAACAAACCAGCGGTTGAAGCATCATTAGGAAGATTAATTTGAATTTTTCGACTTCTCAGGAATTTTTCGATCCTGCTTACGAGAGGATCCGCGCTCTCTTCTGATGTTTCCCCATCCTCCGTAACCTTTTCCAGGGTTATTATATCACCGTAAACGTCAATGATATCCTTTCTGTTGATTTCGTCCATCGCTCTCACGAGCTTCCCTTCTAAATGCTCCAAACTATTTCTATCTTCCTGACCTGAACCGGCTATCACCAACGTCAGAAATTGCAACGCTAAGAGAATGATTACTTTGGTCTTCATAGTTACGAAGTACTATATAGCGTGACTCCGAAGAAGCGTTTTTGACTGTTTGCCCCCAGGGACATTTTTCTTTTATATGAACCACAATCGACTAGTGGTGGGGTCATATTGAACCATTTGGCAAGCAACGTGCAAGGGCAGTAGTGTCAAGAATTTTAATTCTGCCGACTCTCTGAAGAGCTAACTTGAACATGCAATGCACAAAAATCGCGTGACGAAGAATACGTCGACTCAAGTAAATTTCCCTTTTACTTTCAGAATTTTACTATCTAACCTAGGAAATTTCTTAAGCTTTTCAAGCTAAAAAGTTTTTTTTAATTAAAAAATAATTATAAATAATTATAAAGTTTCATATATAAAAGTAATAATTAAAGTTTTCTGTAATAAAATTGAATTAAATTTCAAAAATATTGCATTTTATTGCTCAGATATTTTTCTTTTAGTATATATTACGTTTCTTTGGATAAATTTATTGTAAAAAAGAAATCTGTTTGAATTAAGAAATTTCTACTTAATTTACATATATCTACGGGTTATTTGCATCTCTGACATACACATACAATAGTCTGTAAGACTGATTCTAAGCAATTATCATCTCCTATGTTTACGATCAGCGTACATCATCAACGCCTTCGTACACACAGTTTGGTGAAAATTAGATTTCCGTGTCTCTTAGTGACACGGCATGGTATGTAAAACTTGTGTCCCAAATCATGCAGTCGCTTGAACAAGAGAAATGGAACGAGCGACAGAAGTGACGGCCAAGGCGAAAGAAAGACCGAAGAAAAGAAGTGGGAGTGTAAATGACCTGTAAGAATGCTCATATACGATTGGAATCGGATATGAGCTCAACCGACTACAATTGCACGCCGAAAGTTGTCAATATTTCGTCTTAGCAAAAACTAATCACGTACGAGGTTTTCTATGCACTGTGTTGCATCGAATCTTATTGTGACATTAGTTTCTCCAAATTAGAAATTTTATTCTGATTTAATTTCACAAGAGCAGAAACAAAGAATTTTCTACAAATATTTTTCTGAGATAATAAATAATTTATTAAGTACAAACAGTTTAATTGTTTAATACATACAATTAACCAATAATTTATTTAATTGATAAATTACATAAGATTTACATATAAATACTATAATCTAGTCGTAGGTGGGTCCAATGGCCTCGAAAAAGTGTTTTGGCTCCGTGAGATATGGCTTCTAAGTTTCTCCATGGCAGATAACAAAAATGTCTTAATTATCCGGTGCGACATTCGATAAGTGACCAGTATATGCCAAATTTTGGGCGCCCAAGTTTCTGTAGTATGCTTGTTGCTGGGGTACACTTCCAGCGGCCCAACCTTCATGACCAACGGAGTCATAGAAGAGAGGTCCAGGATTTTTATTAAAGAAAGTACCCACATTGTTACCGCCAAAAAGCTTCTGCAATACCACGTAGCCGGTAGCAAGTAAGGCGAGTTTACCGAACATTAAAGCTTTCACAGTTAGCAGACCTAAGCCAAAAAGCAAGAGCGGTGCAAGTGCGAAGATCTTCAAACCCGCTGCAGCAATCAATGGCAGAAATACTTTCTTGATCTTGGCGCGTCCTAATTATAAGAAAATAAATTAACATAATTGGGTTTAGATTATGAGATTCTAAAATCGATATAAAAAAATGCATCAATAATATAAAAATGCTAAAGTTAAGTTTAATTATTTAAATGCAAAGATATAAAATTCATATTTTAATAAATGTAAAAATATCAATATTAAACTTAATATTAAGCTTAATATTAAGTTTATAATGTTAATTTGTCAGAATCTTTTGATATATTATATAAAAGTATTGAAATTAATAATTTTATGCCTTTCAAATACAGATCAATAATACTAATTATCGATATACGTTTGGAATATGTAAAAATTAAGTAATTAATGAAAGTGTGATTAGTAGGGATGTTGTATTTTATTTTTGATAATACAATTATGATTTACTCAAATATTTCAAAATACATTTGAGAAGGAAAGCGAAACATTTTTTTCTTGAGGAACGAGTTTACCCGGAACAGGTTCAGACGTCAGCATCATACATATAGATATCACGGAGGTGAAAGGCATGCTGAGATGCTTATTCGTTTATACTCATGACGTCGCGAATCCGTAACGTTCATCGAATAGACATAATCAAGGAAAGGTAAACGATTGCGTAACTGAGATACTTAGTGAGTACTTAGTGAAGGCAAAAGGAATAAGACTTACCTTCAGTCAGGGCTCGAGAAATTGGAACTTCGGACATGTCAAATTTCAAACTATGGCTCTTCGTAAAAGAGGCAACGGAATCGTACAGCATATAGAAAAGTTTCATTATTCTATCGGTACTCTCGCTTGGTAGTTCTTTCATGATTTCCTTTTCGTTTGTTTCTAAATTCCTGCCAAGACGCTCCACTATAACAAAGTTTTTAAACAAGAAAAATATTTATCAATTGTTACCGTAATTATTATCTCTTTCAAAAAATTACAAGAATACAATTTCATCGTGTATGTTTAAAAGCAAATGTAGCTAATTTCTTTAAAATTGCAACATATTCTTTAATATTTTTATAATTTGTATTATATTAATTCACAGTAATATATAATATTTGTTATATCTTATATAGTGTATAAATAATGTTACAGTTGTAAATCTACACACAGAAAGAATGCTACAGTTGTCACAACCAGAAATAATGATAATTTTCGTCCATCAATAAATTTGGTTGTAATAAACATAAAATGGACATATCTTAACAGCCACAACTGTTAAGATATGTCAATCTTACGATTATCACAATCTATCAGTACTATAGTTCTTGTAATCAAAAAATGTATTGATGGGCATCTTTTGATCATGGCAACCGTAGCCGTTTTTCTGTGTAATATTATTTAAAGTTAATATTACCCTAATAGCTTTATTCAACACTTTATTCGGGATACATCCTGAGGATGTTCTTAGGATGTTTTTTTTACGTTCTCGGGATGTTCTTTTGACGTTGTTAGGGTATACATGGTTAAATTTTTTTTAAGAATAATGTATATATAATAAATACAAGAACTTACTCGGGGTATCTCGTACGAAAGTTATACCATCGATGATTTCGATGTTGCTCGATCGAGTCGCTCTGTTAAGAGCACCGATAGTCTTCACGAACATGCAGCTGAAGAACGCATTGTCGTACTCCACACAATTCAAATTCTGAGACGACTGTACGTCTGTAGGTCCTGCTGCAGTGTACGCAGCAAGAAGTACTAGCGTCAGAAATTTGTTCATCTTCTCGTTGTCTAATCACTCGTCACGTCGTCACGGAATGGAATACAGAGAGGCAGTGGTCGAAGACGGAGCAAACTACTCCTCGGAAAATTTTCGGAACAAAGTGTGACTTGGCCCTGCGGCGCTTGAATCTTTATAGGTGTGCACCATGTAGGACCCTCCTCGGTATCCCCACTCTGGATGAAACGACGACGTGTATGACGACAAGAAACGATGAGACGAACGACTCATCATTGCAGGTAAATGCCGTCGGCCACCTCCCCAGAAAACTTTCTTCGATAATTTTTAAACAAACGAATGACTGCATGAAGAGACGTCACCATTTGGGCGGACCTAGAAGTCGCTCTCCCTAACGTCGAGAGAAGTTTACGTTTACCACAGTTACCACTCAGAATTTGGGTTAGTAGCGGAGATAACATTCGTTATAAATTCAGGGATTATTTCTGTATATGAGGGAAGGATCTTTGAGAAATAGAATTTTTCGTCGTCATTATATCTTAATATTAAAAAAAATTCTTAATATTTCTGGTGACACTATTTTGATTCGTTTTAAAAAGATACATTGATACGTTTTGTTTTTTAAGATACAACGTCCTTTCTTTTCGTCTGCAAAATTAATATTATTTTGACCTATGCCACTTTCTGTTTATTCTTCACTTACAACAAATTGTTTAGAAAACCGAGGTGATGACAAACGTGCATTTCGCACCTCGCCGCCATTCACAATTGCACATGCTTCGCGGTTGCGGATATACATTTTCTTATGAGTAGCGTGTGCGTGTGCATTTAGGTGACGCTAAATGTGGACAATTCCTAGTAGTAATTTTCCTTCAAATTGTGAGTAAAACAATCGTATACATATTGCAAAAGATATAATTTTAAATTATATTAATTGAAATTAAAAATAAAACGAATGTAAAATATAAACAAAATTTTTTAAAACAATTTATTATATCTATTTATTAACGATTTTATAACGTGCTAATTTAGCTTTAAATATTTTTTTTTTGAGAAATCCAAGCATCATAATTTTCTTTGTGAAATGGACCGATGCATTCTCCTCTATAACCACGTGCACCAGGCCGTTTACCTTGACCCAGCTATGAGTTCATTGGTAATACGAGAGAACGGATTACATCTCTGATATAAGTTTAAGGTTTTCTGATATAACTTAAATTGATAATATTTTTTTTTTTTTTTTTCATACACTTTTGTATTTATCTGATTATTTTATTATGTTGTTATTTAGTATTATAAAATATAATTATTGTAAATAAAACAAAATTATGTGGCTATTAAATAAATCCACATCTTTGTAAATAATACATGTATATGTATATGATAAACTATTATTATAGGTTCGTTTTGTTTTAAATTTTTATCACAATTATTTAGCTCGGGTCTACAAGAATTTCTATTATTATGTATAAAATATTCTATTTTTCAATAACATTAAAAGTATTCTAGATAAAAGAAAGAATTATCACATTTGCCAAATATTATTACGCAAGACATACACAATATTCCTTTTTGGAAAAGAAAATCCAAATAGTGGATTTTTATAAGAAATCGCACATATCTTTTTAATTACATATCCTTTTAATTTTGACATTATTGATTTTATTAATTCTATTTTTTTTAAATACATATATATATATATATACCGGAGTATGCATGAGAGAAATTAATGTAACATACTGAAACGAAACAATGAAACCATCATTAACGTTGCTTTAGGCAACCACTTGGAAAGGTAACAGATAATTTATTCACAAGAGGTATTTCATTGTGCTCTGTACGAATCTGTTTAAATATTTAACGTCAGATATGGAAGGAACTTTGTCATCTTCGTTTAACGGTATCCGAAGGAAGAAACGAAGACAATTTTAGATTAATTTTCTGGGTTATGATTATCATCGGTTACTTTCTTCTGCATTTATTTAAGGAAATATGACAATTTTTACCTATAACGAAATCACCGATATTTTAAAAATACATTTTCTTTTTAGAAAATAAAGAGTCCTAATAACTAATTTGTTTATTTGTACAATATAAATACATTGTTAACTAATGCATCTATCGGTGATACCTAACACAAACAATTGTGGATACCTATATGCAATATTCGACACATGCCTATGCAAAACTATTTATTTCATTTATATCATAAAATGATGTAACTACGATAAAACATAAAAGTCCTTTAAAATATTTTAACTACATAGGAATGTTGAAAATTTAGAGAATCAAAGAGCAATGACTTATATTAAGGTCAGTTCCTATCTTATTTTTTTTTCTCTTATTCTTCACGTGATACGATGTGACCGCTGCTTCTCTAGAAGACCGCTTTTCTCAATCATTTATTATACAATTAATCATGTTAATAATTTTCTATTTTTGATTAAAATATCGTTAAAAAATCTCATGTTTAATAGATATTCTTTTTTTTTGTAATGATTACAATATTTTATTTTCTCTTAATAATTAATAGTAAAATTTATATTCTCATTACATAGAATTATATAAGCATATTGTAATAATAACTAAAAAAATTTTGTTGGAAACATATTTATTTACGTAACTGAATAATTTAACTTCGATAGAGAAATGGAATACAAGAGAGAAATGAATATACTATCTACAAACTACATTCCTCACGGAATCAAGAAACTTTCTCTGCTTCTTACATCACGCTAGTGAAATGTGTTAATATACATTGTGATTACTCATCTTTAAAAAGGATTTTGTTAGCGATATTGAAAACTGTCGCCGAGTTACTGTACTAAACTAATTATAAATTGTAAACATTTCTGTTTCCGTTTGTAAATTTTATAGTTTTTGACAACTTTTACCAATGTATCAATAGTCGGTTATTCCATTTAACATAATTAACGCAAGCAGTTAACGCATCTCCGTTGTAAAGCTCTTCATTGATGTTAATACAAATAACTTTTACAACACTACATATACACGACATTGGTTCGTATATTGATTATGCTACTTTTGAATTTATTATATTTACAATGTTTGATCATAATGTAATCTTATCATAGCCAGACTCTGAAATAAATATATAAGTAAATAAAATTGATAGAAAATTAATTAATTAATAGAGACTATAAATAAATACATCTTATTCTTAATTTTATATAATATATAACGTCAATCTTTTCAGAATTGTTTGAAATTAAAGTAAAACTGATATTTTTCTATGACAAACACTACTGTAAGGATAAAAATAATTGAGGAACCAACAAAGAATTCATCCGTTAATAATTTTTTTCACTTCTTTCTACGTCGTTCTTTGTAAAATCGATAAGGTTCGAATTCTTGCACGTCGTCAACGAAACCGTATACATCCTGTCGTCTGTACTTGTTGATTGATTCGTAGCTGCTCTCCTTCTGGGCAACCTTTTTTAATCCAACTATGGCTGCCAGGATTAAGCTCATCAAACTTAGCACAACAGCTTTTCCACTTAGAACTGCCAATGCCTTTAACGTGATAGGCAATAGAATAGATTTTATCAACAAAACCCCAATAAGTAAAGGCAGAATATATTTATTCAGTTTCTTGAATTTCTTATCTTTACGCCCTGTAATTAATAAAAAAAGAGATACTTAATAAATACAATAGATGTAATTATAAATATATAACCGTGTTACATGCTTTTAATTTCCTAATCTCTTTTATATTTTATGTAAAACATAATTCATAAAAAATAAATTTAACATATCACATTTATATCGCTACTCGATACAGCCTATACTACATTGCCCGCAACGTTCTACTAAACACTACATATGTTATGACTTAAAGTTTATATTACATTATAAAAGTATTTTGCTCCTTCGGAAACAGGATGTGCATTCCTTCATTGAAGTATACCTTCCTTATTAAGTACGATCGTCACGGAAGTTAATAAAGATGAACTAGAGTAGAAAGCACTTATGTTTTTGTATCGCGAGGCTCCGCAAACCCGTAAACCCAAAAGTATCATAATATAATGGACAATATGTGCAATTACACGCTTCTTTAGCAACGTCTGATTAATACGCAGTCTCATAATTCCATTTTTTTTTACAGCAAATTATTCAAATCTTTGATTACTAAACTTGAAATACCACACTAGATATGCTATCTCTTTTATATTTCCCTGTAATTCCTTATCCATTTATAGATATATTACAATTTGTTGTTAACAAACTTATGATTATTATTGAGAAAAAATGTTTAACAATATATACCGAAGTTGACACTTATATACTACAATTGACACTTTCACTAAATTAATTAATACTAAATTGCATAGAAACATTATTATAAATAGCCATACATCTTGTAATAATTTGATCTTTTCTATTTGACATTGATAAAATTAAAAATGCAATTATAAATTGACATAGGAGTTTATAATAATATTAATTTAATAGTTGTAAAGATATAATACTCTTTTTTTTCAATGTATAAATGATCACATATTCCATCTGTATTAATACGCCTATCGTATATGTGTATATTAATTTAGCATATTTTTATATATATATAATATAAAAATTATATATCAAAATATTCAAATTTTGTAAAAACGGATAAAAATTTTTTTGTTAAAATCCAGAATATTATTAAAAGTTTAATAGTAATTAATGTAAAAAGAGTAACTTCTGTTGAAAGTTTTTTTATTTGATTATGTCTTATTGTTTCTTCTCTATATACTTTTTAATATAAGAGAATAAAATAAAACAAAATCTGAACTTCTTTTTTTATCAAACATTAGATTAAAAATGGATAAAATTGTCTGTATTTAGCCACAAATAATTATTATTGTCAATACCTTCTATATTATCACACGATTTTGAAACTGGAGAAAATGTATCAACGATGCTCAAAAAGCTTTCGCCAATCCAGTTTAAAGAATCTGTAGAGTTGTTCCGCATCATCTCTCGGTTCAGTGTCTTCGTTGATTGCGATCCCTGTGCTGCGACGAACACAGGTAGAAATAGTAGCATATACAGCGGTAACATCTTTTCGGCATCTAGATTTCTTTTATTCTTTTTCTGTATTTTTTTTTATAACTCACTTTATAAGCACGTTTTATCTAAAAAACTTCACTTATCTTGCAATTGCAACCGACCTCTTCGCCAATAATATGTTAACTGACATTCGTGCTATACCGGGTTATTAGTTTATATAGTGGGACCGCGAAAAGCTCAGAGGAGGAGACCAGTCATCTAACTTGGTACTGATGCGTGACGAAGGATCCAACGTCCCGTACCTCCCGAGCTAGTCTACCTCGATCATTGGACGCTGTGTTCGCATCAACCACTCTTGAGAACGAAGAATCTTCCACAGAATATTTACAGGGTAAGTAGATCGTTCTCTCCGTCAAATGTCTTCACTATTATTGTCCTTTGTCGTGAGAATATACATCTATTATCAATTGAGTTCGTTTTACACTCGAATAGTTGTGGTACGAAGACTACCGCGACCTATAGCCTGCTTATACCGAAAAAAGTAAACTAGAAATAATTCAAATTAAACCATTTCATTCTATAAGCGGATTTATAATTAAAGAGGATCAGTAGTGTTCCAATTATTGTACCGATAATAATTCGATATCTAATTAAATTAGAACCAGCTATAATTTTTTAATGATAAAATTTTGTATCAATATTGTATTATACTATAAAGAAGTTAAAGTATAATAAAATATAGTTAATAATTAATTAATATTAAAAGATTTTGACAAATTATATTAATGAATAATATCATTTCTTTACCGTAAAGCGTATAAAATTGGTTATTAATCATTAATCATAGAAGAAAGTGTACGTGTCTTTAGAAACCAACTTTTCAATTAATAGGTAAAGACTATAAAAAAGATCTATATTCATGCTCATCATTAAGTGAAGTATTTTCTATCAGAAAAAAATGATGTTACACGCTTGAGTACGATGGATAAACGTCAGAAAAGCAGTAAAGAGCAACATTTTTATATTGATTTAAGTACGAACGTCATATCCACATTATCACAATCATATTTAAAAAAATTTTTAATAAATTACAATAATATTTTTTTAAAAATAATTTTAGTTACATACGAAAAAAATATTGTTATAAATTATTATCAAGCACATTTTTTAAATATAGAAACGTATCTTTTTATTTAGAAAGCAGTTTTTTAAACTTGCGTGTTTTAATTTATAGCTTAGTATCTTTTTTATTATTTCGTACCGTTATGTATACTTACGTGGGTTAACATTATTAGGCTAATTCATTTTTTACACAAGCAAAGTTATTATATCGTTAATGATAGACTCCTCTTTCGTGAGCGCCTGTTATTTGTTAAAATTAGGACTATGGCTAGCAATAGTAATAACAGTAATAATAGTTCCATGTGAGTAAGCTCATGAATTATATGCATTATGCTTGTAAAGCTAGTACAGTAATCATATAATAGTGCCTGAATTTTTTTTATTTATTCTGAAGATAATTTGATTTCTGATATTTCAACGTAACAATTGTTAATTGACCAAATATTCTTTGAACCTAATAATCACAATTAATCATAACATAATAATATCATATTTTGCGATTGTCTGAAAATCATGTATTTCTATATAAAATTAGTTACTAAACCAACAAATATTAAAATTAAATTAGAGTAGATAAATTGGAGTAGTACAAAATGATTTAAAAAATAAATTAATCGAAAATGACTCAAATTTCTCTTTTTTTTTCGGCTTTTCTATAATTATCTTTGTGAATATTAATGAAAAAGATATGATAACTGCAGTTTTTTAAGGTTTAAAAAACTGATCATTTTTAGCAATTTTCGACAAAAAATGCGTTTTTCATTCTTTTTTTGTTTCAATCACTTTAAATTAATTATTTTCTGATTCAGCAATCAATTTTACATAAAAATGATTTTTAACAATTACAAAATTTCATCTTGTACTGTGGCTAAAATGACCTCCTCTAAACTTTAAAAAAATGTGCATAAACATTAACTTGATACTACGAAACGAAATATACATCTATGATGGATTTCGTCTTCACTTTCACGAAAACTTTAATTTTTTTATGTATGAAAAGAATTACTTTTATTATATGGTGTTATAGGAATTTATCGTAGATTGTAATAAATAAATATCTTTCTTCTAACGATCATTATTATTTAGGATACAAGATCTTAAAAAAAACAGCAAATTATTCTTTATTTCCTCTATCCAAGAATCTGAAGTGATATACTTAGGAGTTATATGAATAAAACTACTGTACCGATATGTAGGTTATCGGCTTCATACACGAGGAACTCGACTAATGCTCTATCACAATCTATCTTTAAATAACTAGTCTGATAATTTCAATAGCGACAAACATTATAATACACAGGTAATGTCTTTTATTAGCGACGCAAACTAGAAACAACGTATCCAAAAAAACAATTTTGCTACGAGTTCGTAATCAGTGCGTGCAAGTTACCTGCGTTAGTAAATATACGGGTTTATTACTTGTGAAACTGCCTCGATGTAATATCCGAGAATGAAGAAAGTCAAGGAGAGAGTACATATGTGATAATGATTGTTAAGTATCACTTTATTTAATGTGATGCATGTGACTCGTGATTTTCAGAGCAGATAAGAACCTGATAATTACTGGAAACAGTCAGACTATTAATCATCTAATAAAATGGAAATATTTCACGCTATATCTAATCCTTTGTCTCATCAATCTCGTACGCGGGCATCCGATACATGTTTCGAATGCTTTGCGTTAATTATGCAAATTGTTATAATTTCACTACATTTTTCCGCAATTTAATGAATATTAAATACATTAATAACTGTCTACTGTGTAGATGTTGTTAAGTAATATAAATTCATTCTATTATATACATTGTCAATCTCGCGTACACTTTCTTATTCGGTAAACGATGCAATAATACAATCTCCGTTTTATTTGAATTTCAATAATGTATAGCTTTATGAAGAAACATTTCTCTGTCACATTAAATTCTATAAAAGTAATAGAACCTATATTAAATCAGTTAAACAACACTCATGTTCTCATTATGTTAAAATATTGTAATATCCTTATGAAATTGATCTTAAGATAAATTAAAAGTAACCGTAAGAGCACAATGTGTACAAGTATTTTTGGACCCATATACCTACATACGCAAATTAATATATTAAACGCGAAGAAAATATTATCAAGTTGTAAGGATCATTTAAAGCTACCGGGTTATTAGCAACCCGCATGTTTGCTGGGCGTAACTAAAAAAAAAAGATCCCATCAAGATCATTTACGATCGGTCAGACTTTTCACGTAGATTTCTACGTGTATACACGCAGATTTCTAATTTCTTATCCTACGGGCAGGATGCTCAATAAGATGCTCATTTACGTCGTGGTTAGAGCAATGTGCAATATTCCATTGTGCACTTAAGCGGAACGTGCTTCGAGTACTTCAGATAGCTCAGATAAATATGCAGCAGATTGTAAAATGTAGTGCAGTTTGTGATGCTCTGTTATGAGTGTGGGATGATGCTCTGACAAGAAAGGCAATCGAAAATCTAAAAGTGGCAACAAAATTGAAAAGCGAGTGGAAGGGAGTGAAGTGAAAAAGTGACACAACTTTTTCCGGATATCTAGCGGATATTATTTCAATCACAAGTATATGAGATTAAATTAAAAATAACAGTGATTTACATATATTTTTTAACTTACAAATAAGATTATTTAACAGTGAATAGATCAAATAAATATATGTCCTTCAATTAATTTTAAAATAAGCTTCTGAACAAAGAAACGCTGTTTTTAAAATATTGAAAATTGCTCATGCAAATAATCACAATCAGATAAGATTATCGATAAACATACTATGCTAATTTATAAATGTAAAATATGTTAGAATTATTTAGTACAAGAGAATAAAAAATCATTAAAAGATACAAAAGTACATATGAGCATTTGATCATAGAGATTTGAAAATTAGATCAAACATTAATAAGCTGACTTTCCTTGAGATAAGAACATCAGAGGTAAAGCGAATCACGCTATGATCTTATACGACGACTGGAGACACGAAACATTTCCAACGTGAAGACCATCGAATTCTCTTTGGCCCGGATATCTGCGTAACTTAAAAAAAATCGCATTCATTGCAAAACGACGTTCACTGCAAATACATCGTGTTCTGCAAAACCATTTCCGCCCCTATAGAGGCATTATAATGCGCTCATTCGCGCGACGGCCTCCACTCCCTTTCTCTTACGCGACGAGAACACCCGCAGAAACCTTCTTATCTGGTATGACCGCGTCTATGCATCGTATATACCGTTCTGCGATATAACGTGACATATATGTCGGTACTGACAATTTGGATCATAGTGTTTACCGCAAGCGTATATATCGCTGGCTCACCGGTCGGAGCTCATTTTACACGGACTGCCGATTTTCCCGGCAACTGAAGCGTGCCCGGCGTGGTATCCACTGCGTCCGGTCAGTTTGTCGTCGAACAGTGGATCAACGACGGATCAGTTAGTTCGCGGTTGTTCGTTGCACCGTTCGTTTCTTCTTTCCAAATTATCCATACTTCCTCTCTCTCTCTCTCTCTCTCTCTCTCTCTCTCTCTCTCTCTCT